GAGAACCCCTCGCTTGTCCAGCTTTGACCACCGTATCCCTGGGCCACTCTCCACCTTCACTGCCGTCTGCGCTCTGGTTGCCTACAGCCGCTCTGGCAAGGTCAAGGCCGTCCTTCCCCCTGCTGCGAAAAAGGGAATCACCGGCCTCCTCCATCTCGTTTCTCTGCAGGTTGCTCTCGGCATCAGCACCCTCATCTACATGGTTCCCATTCCCCTGGCCGCTGCCCACCAGGCTGGTGCTCTTGCCTTGTTGACCGGAGTTCTCGTTGCTGGTCAGCGCCTTCGTATCCCCAAGGCTACCTTGGCTATGGTCCAGAGAAGACTGGCTCAGCTGGCTCAGCAGGCCAAGACCCAAGGCCCCAAATAAACAGCACAAGCACAGTGATATACCGTGTAACATATCTGTAACATTAGCACAAAATTCTGGCGGATAGATATACCCGAGGAGTTTAGGATACACGTACATCTCACAAAATGGCTGAAGTGGCCAAGTTTATGCCACCCTCTTCCTAGGCGACAGTCCCTCATGTGAACCAGGCTCTCATCAGACATGGCGTTGCACAACCTGAACCAGCATCTACCAGTTTCGGATCCCGGCAGTCGATAATATCTGTGTGTACCATGTCCGATTCCGGAACCTTGACAGGCCCTATCGCTACTGTCGCATGTCTCTGTAGGGCAGTGTGGTCTCGAATTTTGATTTGGAAGCAGGGTACCAGTTCGATGCAGTGGTACCAGTTACCAAGTGGTGGGCTGGGACCCTGCAGAATGCCCCAGTGGTAACACAACGGAGGTCTCGCCGGTTCGACTCAGTAAGCCCATAGAGGCGGGCTTACACAGATACCCGGCATCTCTCCTCAGATGATGCAAACAGAGATTGAGTGTCGTATTGTTACCCCTGAGTGTGGGACAAGGGGGACGAACCAACCGTCCACGCGGTCCAACGTTCTCTCCAAAATGCCAGTGCGGCAAACCCGACATGTCATTATATTACACTGTGCATATCAATAAGGAAGCTCCCCAGCTCTCTGGAAGTTCGGGAGTCCTGGGCAATGGCATTCAATTTCTGAAATTCCAACCCAACTCCTTGCTCCCCACCACGATTATTCCAACCCTCGGTGATGTGCCGCAACGGCAACTCCCAGATGAACCTTAAATGCACGACCTGATTTCCTAATCGGTCTCTTTACAGCTCGAGTTCGGATAGCTGACGATAATCGTCGCACAATTCCACCCCCAACCGTCAAGGACACAAGCCATGCACGACATCACATTGCGAAATGTGAGCCGAGATAAAATGGATGATATCTCGAACGACACAAGGATGAATCACCGAGCCTTTTCATGATCTTTCGCTTAAAACAAGGCATTGACTGGCTGCTTGTTGAATGTTTTTCAGGCTGCTCAGGAACCAGGCTTACACCGCCGACTCCACCTGACGAATAGCATTCTCTTTTCGAACTTCACAGCCATCAACACAAAGGATCATGAAAATCTGGGTTGTGGTGGTTGTTCGTTCTCAGCCGTGTTTGCCACATAGCACCCTTTGTCTCTTTCCCCTCCTTGAGCCTCAGCCGGCCACCTGCAGCTGACAACAACACCTCAACATCGACCACAGCTACAACCCCCACCGCTTCGTTGTTCAGCTTGGTTGATCAACAGTCTCACGAGATTAGTGGCTAAATATGTCAAACATGCAAGTGCCACCATTCCGTGTTACGTGAGTTGGGCCATTGTGTGCATGCATCCAACAGTCACTGCTGTTCAGGACCAACGGTAAAAGGGGTCCGAGACAAAATAGGGCCTAGGATGTCCATGAGTCCCACGATATCTTGGCCCTATCCGAGCTGGTTGGAACATTGTCTAGGAGCCAGAATAGGCAGTCTAGGCAAGACACTTCGAAGTCGATGTCTCTTGATAGCTTCCGTGCCCCCCATTCTTTGTTTGGTTACCCTGGCTTCCCCAATTACTAATTGTAACCCACTATATTCCTCGCCAAATCAGGGTTGAAGGACCTCCGGCCGCTAATATCTCAATCCTACACAACCATCTCGCGCCGACTTTGGTTGCGGTTCGGTTCGTTCGTCCACTGCGAGGTTCCATGCAAGAACGCTTCGGTGATTCGCCCCCGCTCTGCAGGTTTCCAGCTCCTTCCCGGTGCCGACGATGAACTATTGAATGATCAACGAAACGTTGGACTTTGGCGTCGGCTGCTGCCCTCATGCACATTTGGCACCTTCGGGAACGATTACGGTCTGATTCCGAACGCCTTCATTTCTGACAGAATGACCACTCCTTCAAACCATTGGACGTTTAACACAGGATGCTGTCTGGATGACAACACATCCGGTATCACAGGGGTTAAAAGCATCTGATATCCTCTAAACTCGGTTTAAGTCCGGGCGAGTCGAGACTCCACCTTTGACTTCCAAAGCCCGCATCTACTCCTCCTTCCGCCTCTTCACTTCCTTGGCCAGGAAAACCTCCCCCTTCCCACGAACGAGCAGAAGAAAGGAAGAAAATAATTCACATTTCTCTGCATTGTGATACAGGAGCTGCCAGTCGCCTTCTCATTTATCCCTGTTACGCCTATCTCCGGGGACATATGCAACCTGCTTGGAAGGCCGGTACCTCGACAGTCAAAGTCAAGTCAATTGCAATAAATACCTCCAGCTTCACGACCTAGTCCCGCGTCTCACGACAGGACGTTCGTGTCCCCACAACGAGAAACCAGCTTTACCCTTGCACACCACAATAAACGTTTAATAAAGAAACCCTCGTCCGAGTCAAGACCTTGTTGGTTTTATCCTTCCCCTTTCTCCCCCTCCCCACTTTTCCCATCTCCCCAACCTTGTCTGAAAAAGGCAAGTCATCAAAACTGCCACAGCCTAGAAACTGCGTGCAGAGCAATGTCTCTTTCTACACCTCCTTGACCGAACGGGTAATTGACGCCGACGAACACTTTTTGCTGTTACCAGACAGTCTGTTCCTCGAGTGGTCAACCGGAGTGTTTTCATCATCCAGCTAGCACTATCATTTCCAACTTACATCGCGCGAAGTCACCTCAAAATCAACTCGAGAACGGTTTCACATTAATCGATATCTTCACATTCGGCCTTAATAATTGCCACTTTACTCGACCTTTGCGTGATTTCAACCGACGACAATATCTACGTTCGAGATATCAACTCCGGCTTCAGTGCTCTCCTGAGTGGTTTATCAGAACCAGAAGGCGACGTCTGTTCACAGTTGTACGACGAGAACTTATCGGTTGGGCTTGCTAGCAAGACATCCGAGTGTTGGACCACTGCCGAGATCAGCGGTTATCTCACGTGTGCTTTCTCATATTCTAACTCAGTAATACTCGTAAGTGTATATATCATCTTCTCTAAAACCCTCAGTTCAAATACCCTCTCTTGGTGTCTACCCAGCCAGCCCCTCGCTGCACCGATGATGAAAGGTGCACCAAGAAAGAAAGAAGCACACCTTCATCTCATTTACAAAACTTTCCCTCTAAGTCATAGCAAACACGTCCTATACTCATGACACAGTGGAGATGTCGTCGACACGACAACATGGACCCAAAAGTCCATATTTCATCGTCATCACCAACATATAATCAATCTTCCATGCCACCCCCTGGCTATCCTCATATCAACTACCTCACATATCAAACTCTAACTCTAACCCTCTCCTTTCAAAATGCTCACACAAAAGTACCACCCTCACAAAAAAGAAAACCAAAGCTAACCAGCCCTCCAGTCTCCTACTTAGCTTCCCACTCACACTCACAAATCACACAATCACAATCCTAACCTCTTCACCCCTAATTACCTACCTACCTTAACCAACCCTACCAAACCAAACCAACCAAACCAAAAAAATGTGCCAACAATGGTTCTGCGTCTACGCCTGCGGGCACAAAGGTTTCTACCGCTACGACCCCTGTCCGGACTTCGGCACCAAGTGCTACGGCGCCGGCGGCGAGCAAAGCCTCTTCAGCGTGACCGAAACTTGCGACGATTGCCAGTCGAGGGCCACGGAGCCGAACCCCGAGGGCAGGAAAGATGATCCGTATCTCAAGGAGAAGAAGTACGTGCCTTGGATTGTTAATGATTCGGCGGGTGGGAGTCCTGGGCAGGGGAAGTAACTGCAACTGGGAGGAGGAAGGGGGAGGTGAGATGGGAAGGGTGAGATGGGAGGGAAGGGTGGGATGGGAAGGGTGAGATGGGAAGGGTGAGAGGTGGACGGGAGGGACGAGGTGGAAGGGGTCGAGGGGGTGGAAAGAGGAGGGGGGTAAAGAGGGGAGGGTTGAAGTGGGTGGATACGATGACTGAAGAGGATGGATAAGATTGCAGGGAACGAGGAGAAAAGAGAGGTGAGAGAAGGCTCGCTCAAGGGAAAAGGGGAATCAGGATTCATACGGGGATGTATAAAGGAATCGGGATGACACGGACACGGACACGTTAGGATTGCAGACATCATGATATGGACATGGAATATGGATAGATTTTGCAACCAGGGCCTCCCTTCGTACAGAGAGAGATTAAAACATACAAGTATGTAAATCACAGACACACCAAAAACTGAACAAAAAATCCAAGAAACAAACAAATACCTTATCTTCACGCTTCCCACGGATGCCTGTCTCTGTCTATGCCCATGAATGAAAAGTCAACCCGAATGTTTACAGCACGATAGATACCCCGACAAATACATAAGAGGGTACATAATAAAACGGTTCAAATTGTTGAGTAAACCCATCTAATAACCATAAGAGCCAACCACACCACACACATGTGCTAAACAAACCATGGCCGTGATACGAGAAATCTGGTTTTCCCTACCTTACGGAGATGATATATCAACCAACCAGTATTTCCAATCATGAAACACCACGAGAACACCACGAAAACACTACATGATGCTATATGATGCTACATAATGCTACAAACACGGCCGCTTGATGTTGTTAGTTCCCAACCTGAGCTTTAGATACTGGCTCGTACCATGTATGTGTTTTCGAAACTTGACGACGGAAACGACTAACCGAAACCAGTTTTCCACGAAGACAGCTCGCCGGTGACAAGGTTTGTAGGTACTGTAGGGAATATATAATTGAACCTTACTAACTGAAGGTCCGCTCTCCCCCAGCATATAGAAATCTTTAGATACTGTCATAAATTTGGAGAGAACACTTCTTCCAAGTCCAGGAAAAGGGGCTGGTTCGACGAGATATCCGAAGGCACACTATACCACACCACACCATATCGCACGGAATCACTCTGCGAGAACTCTGCGAGAACTCTGCGAGAATACTACACCTTGTTGTACACGCGGATCACTTCCAGCTCACAACAATTTCGATTCATCCTCTGACTGGACTATCGCCCCATTCCATTCCCCCACATTTTTTTAACCATCAGCCACGCACGCTACTACTATAAGCTGTGATGCTTCGGCAAACAACTAGTTACCTAGATGGTGAAACAAATACCAGCTGCCGCTTATTGCTGGCTTGTAGAGCCTTACCACTTGCGACCGCAAAACACGACCTTATACTCTACCTTGAAGGGTATTGAACTTATGGTCAATGTTATGATCTAGAATTCTGTGCGAGAAACTGGGTTTTACCTAATTTCAATACCTATCTCGTCGTCGTGGTTGATTTTCGTGGGGAGCAAGTCAAGCCAGTAATAAGCGACAACTGGTAGCCGGTATTTCTTTCACCACCTGCTACCCAACAACCGAGTTGTACATCCATCCCATTGCTTCTTCTCGTCCTTCGCCTGAACCGACAAAGTAAAAAGGGAGTGAATTGAATGACACAAGTGCAACAACAAACCGCTCGCAACCCGCCCGCCTGCAACCCGCAAAGAAAACAAGATAATCCAAGAAAAAAACTGCCAAAAAAGAGAATGGGACAATGGTCAAGGGTCGTGTCCCCACGGGAGGGGATGGGGGTGGGGGTGGGGGGTTACGACAAAGTCGTAGAAAATAGTTGCCGCCGCCGCGAACCGAACGTCCGGCGGCCCGATGCTTAGCCGGCGAGTCAGGCAATTAGTCCGCTTGACCATTGTGTGCCATTGGGAGGTGGTGGAAGATTGGGTAAAAGACCTAATATATATACCCCGGTGCTGGTGTGGTGATGGTGCGTCACTTTTGGGGAGTGGGCGGTTGTAAGTGCCAAAGTAGGAAGGGGCGGGCTGGCAGCCGCTGGCTGGCATGACGACTGGCCGGCTGGCTGGCGGATGGGCTTTCGTCCAGTCTTTTAAAGCAGAACCAGGTAGGTTTCGGATGGGCGGCGTCTGGGCTTCCCTTCATCCAGAACGTCACAGCCTCACCAAACTAACATCCAGAATCCCCTCCTGCCCTTCCAACTCTCTCACCACCTCCTCCGTAACATCACCCTCAACCCCCAGTATCATCAGCGCCTCCCTACTATCCTCTTCCGTTTCCTCCAGTGTCTCCGTCTCCTCTCCCCCCCTCGTTTCCACCGTCCCAACTGGTCTTGCTCTTCGCTTAGTACCATCGCCACCACCACCACTTAGTCCAGCAACCTGCATAAACCTTATATTAATATCATGTCTGCCTACCACCATGCCTACGCCACCGATTTTTCCCGGACGATCGTAGTTCCTCAGCACCAACAGTGTTCCCTCAGGCTGGAAGTTGGCGCCGGCGAACCGGTCCAGTTTGGAAATGAAGATGTCTGAACCACTGGTTACGTGGCCCTCGATAATCTGTTCTTGCTCTTCTTTGCTTCCAGTCTTGGAGTTGGACGTAAGGTAACTCCGAAGTGTCACCTGTCCTCCCTCACCGGAACCAGAGGTAAGGGTGTTGTCATCGCGCATGAACTTCTCATCGATAGCGATTCCTCGCTCACGGGCAATGAGAGAGGCATTGACGATGTTGACGTCACGACCGGCGTGGGAGGAGATGGAAGAGAGGAGACCCTTGATGAGAGCGGCGGTTAGGGGCCGGGTGGAAGGCGGAGGAACGGAGGCGAGGGCGCCGTGGTAAGTGAGTTCGAAACGTCGGCCGCCTAGACTGTTGGGCTTGGTGCGGGCGAAGTGTTGCGTGTAGAGGGAACCCATGCGTTCAATTCTGATGAAAAACTGGGGTTAGTGATGGTTGAGGTTTCTCGAAAAGGAAGAAGGGAAGAAGGATATAGGCTCCGAGGTATGAGGAGAGGGGATGAACAGAAAATAAGAAAGAAAACACTTACAGCTTCACAAAAGGCTGCAACCTCCTATACTCCTCGGGCAAGATCAACGGTGCATTCACAGCCGCCGTCGGCATCCCACCCTTCAAAATCTCCAACACCTGCGTACACACATCAATTGACACATTCTCCTGCGCCTCAACCGTGCTCGCTCCCAGATGCGGCGTTGCTACTACCTTTGGATGTCTCGCTAGTCTCGCAGCTGTCGATTCTTCCACATCAAACTTCACCGGCTCCTGTGTATAGACATCGATTCCCGCTCCAGCAATCCATCCCTCTTCCAGAGCCTTCAACAACGCTCCCTCATTGTAGACTCCACCCCTCGCCACATTCAATACCCTCGCCGTATTTTTCATCAGCTTCAACTCCTTCTCCCCAATCATATCCGCCGTACTCGCCAACAACGGCGTATGAACCGTCAAGAAATCTACCGCTTTCAACAACTCCTCAAGTCCGCCTTTGCCATCTTTCCCACCGCCAACAAGCTTCACTCCAGCACTCCTCGCTATCTCAGGACTCGCATACGGGTCCAGTCCTAGGACCTTCATCCCTAATCCAGTGGCCATTCTAGCTACTTTCATCCCTACCTTTCCCAACCCGATGATTCCCAATGTCTTTCCGCCGACTTCCACACCCACCAGCTTACTCCTCTCCCACCGGCCTTGCTTCATACCCGTATCAGCCCTGCCAATATTCCTAGCCAAGGCGAGCAACAACGCAAGTGTGTGCTCGGCTGCAGCCGCGATATTGCCATGGGGAGAGTTAACGACGATGATGCCACGCTTGGTGGCGGCTTCAACATCGATGTTGTCGACGCCCACACCGGCACGAGCAATGACACGAAGGTTGGGTGAAACATCAGGAGACAAGATGGCGGAGGTAACTTTTGTTTCGGAGCGGATGATCAGGGCATGGTAAGAGGGCAGAAGGGAGGCGAGGGTATCGGGTGTTGTTTTCGGGTGGTAAGTGACCTCGTGGGAGGAAGATTGTAGGAGGGTGAGACCTTCTTCCGAGAGGGGTTCGGGGATGAGGATTTTGAAGGAGGAAGCGGAGTGAAGGGTAGGAGAGGAGGGAGGGGGTGTGATGGCTGAGGGTGCCATGTTTGGGTCCAAGTCGTAGAGGTAATCGGGGACTAGAGTATCTGAGCAGATAAAACTTTGAAGACTGAGAAGTTGGCTATCCAGCATATCTCAAAAGGAAAAAGAGAAGCACTGATTCTCAACTGAGGGGAAGGGGGGCTTATAACTCTGAAGCAGTGTTCTTTGTTTGAACTTTGCCTAGCACAAGATGTGTTGATCTGTGGCACATGGCCTTTCACCCCCGCGTCTCAGCATCTCAGCTGGCTTCGTTTTGCAGTATCACCATATCCCACAACAGGACGTGGTGTTTGTCCCGACCAAGGAAGTTCATGTTGTAAACAAGCTGACATGCAGGAAATAGAGTGTACGCCGCATCTCTCGTCCGAACTCTCGGCGTCCATGGGTAGAGAACTCAATGGTAGTTCGGCTGCATGCAAGGTGAAATAGTCCGGAGTGAAATTGTTTTGTCGTGTGACGGCATCTCATCGGTTGTCATTGAGGATAGATAACGGGGATCGAAGCGTAACTTGAACCTACCAACCAAACAGACGAAGGAAACGTTTCGGTGGTCATAACATGGTGTAACTGAATCCTGTGAAGCATCAGCCATTCATCAATACAAGTTGCTAAGCTGGGATATGATGTTTCCGAGTCCAATAACGAATCCAGCTGACGCCAAAGGGGGGTAGGGCAAGGCAACTCCCGAAGCTTCGCGGTTGAATTTTGATGGATAGACCTATGAAGCTTCAAGGCCTCACACCCTCACCATCTCGAACCCCTCATTCCCCCACGTTTGGCTACTGCGGGTTGACGCACCCGGAGTTTGTGCGCAGGGCGGACGTGGGTGCTGCATATTGTCATTCAATGCGAGGGCAGACAATAGAGATGCAAAATGATGTGAACGTGGTGAGAGAAAAGGGGATAGATACAGTGTAGACATTGAAGAGAAAGGGAAGGGGAGCAAGAGTGGCCCGGGTGCAGTGGTAGATCGCCAAAACAAATGGAATGCCTTTTTCTGGCGGGAAAAGGTGGTTGAGATGGGAAGCAGAGGCAGAAAAGGGAAGAACCGAGAACCAAAATTTTTAAGCTTTCCGCTCAATCAACAGTCGTACTTTCCTGAAGACGACTCTTGTTCACCAACACTGTTCGCATCTTCCCTTCCCAGTCTGTGGCTATCGCTCCTTCCGCCAACGTAGCCAAGGCATCCGCAGCTCACTGTTTGAACAAATTCGTCTCTTTCCGTGGAGACACAGGCGGTGATGACATGCTAAAGTATCCCAAGATCCGGAAGATATCAGTGGAATTGCGCTTGACGAAATGGTTGTCAACAAACCACAGCACACTGCTGCGGCCAAGAACACGGAACGGGATTGCGATAGGAGCAAGCATAATATTCCAGAACTAACTCACCACCAACCGCAACACCAAACCACTTACTCCCAACGCCCCCCTTTTTCTAGAACACCGCAGCCAACTTAGAAGTTAGACTGGCCAGTGAAGCGCTCATTCTGGACCAACTCAATCCAGTAGCCATCAGGATCAAGAACGAACGCAACGTTCTTCATGCGACCATCCGTCAGCCTCTTCTTCCAGTTGACGTTAAGACCCTCCAGACGCTCGCAAGCAGCCTCGATGTTGTCAACTGACAAGCCTATTTCGTCACTCGTTAGCAATCTCCCCACCCTCATCATCCTCCCTCAACCCCCCCCTGGGAAGGTAAAAGCTCACAAATATGCCCAAACCCTTGAGGCTGGTCGTTACCGTTATGGTACGAAAAGTTCTCATCCTTCTCCGTCCCATAATTCCACGTCAACTCCAACAAACCCTCACGATCCGCCGTGTTCTGCTTCTCATCGCCATACCCAAGGAAATACAAGTTAAAACCCGCTTCCTTGGCCTCGTGCGTCCTGACCAACTTCATGCCCAACACCTCCTGGTAAAACTTGAGTGACTTCTCCGCATCCTTCACCCTCAACATGGTGTGGTTCATCCGGTACGTCTTCAGATCCGTCTCCTTAATCTCAGAAGTCTCCTCGACCGGCTTGCGACCGATAATCTCCACCCAGTAGCCATCCGGGTCCAGGGCGAACGCAATGTGCTTCATGCGACCGTCGCTCAGCTTCTTCTGGAACCTGTAACCGGCGTCTTCGAGGCGTTGGCAGGCCGCCTGGAGGTTGTCGACGCTGATGCAGGTGTGGCCGAAGCCACGGTGGGGCTCGACGTTGCCGTTGTTGATCTTGTAGGAGTCGTCGGACTCGGTGCCGTAGTTGTGGGTTAGCTCAATTAGACCTTCGCGGTCCCAGAGGTTGGCACCCGCAGAGACAGCGCCGCCAGGGGCGTCGTAGCCGAGGAAGTAGAGGTCGAATTTGGCTTCGGGGAAGGAGAGCTTCTTGAGGAGGGACATGCCGAGGAATTCGTAGAATTTGACTGTCCGCTGTTGTCAGTACCTCTAGCATTGCATGCTGTTTCAGTTCGGTGGCGACGATAGCTGGTCTGGTCACGTACCCGACTCCTTGGGGTCCTTGACCCGGATCCTGTTGTTTTCAATATCAGCATGCCGCTCGCCTCTGGTACCGTTGCCCAGAATCGCACTTACATGGAGTGGTTGAACTTGTAGTTCTTGACATCGGTAGTAGCCGCCATGTTTGCAAACGATCTTATGAAAGCTATTGTCGTTGATGCGCATCATCATCAAAGTCAGTCCAGTCTCACAACCCACCATCCGTAACCTTCCTTTCTTCCCTCTCCTTCCATTATCCTTCATGAATGGTAGTGACTTACCAGGTCTAAAAACAGTCTTTTTGTTAAACAAAGCACCAGAAAAAAGTTTCAACCTCTGTGTTGCACGCGTCGCCGTTGCTGAGTTCATGTGTTTGGATGTCTCAGATCTTCTCTCGCACAAGCACCACGTGGAAGAGGAGAGAAAGTGAGAAAGTTCACGAAAATGCGGGGGAGGAACTAGATGGTGACGTGATTTTCTTGTATGGAAGGGGGCGTGAAGCTATTCTAGTGCTGCTACTGTACTAAAAACTCTCCGCTGGCTTCAGTTCGGATCACCGCCGTGAGCGGTTGGGGACACGGTGAGGGGCTTCTCTGCATAGCTGACAGATTGACCCCACTTTGTTGAAGCTTTATCGGAGATAAGACGTTCCACTTGACGTCAGAGAAGCTATTCTCCACATCGTTGAGCTTGTGCTACTGCTACGACGGGACGGACGGGAGCTGTCCGGTGGCGGCAGCGATGCCATGTTGCCGTGGTGTCATGATGCGGACGCTGTGATGAAAACAAACCGTTGCAAGAGGGTATAGCATGGTCCAGTGCATGATCACTTGATATGACCAGCCAGGCGTTCCCGAGAAAACGTCTGTGTGATCAGTCTTTTCACTGGTCACGCCTTACAGGGCCTGACGAGTATAGAAAATACTTTGAATGCCTAGCAATGACAATGACTTATAAACCTAAACGAAAACAGTGGAAGCCGACAGCGACGAGAAATATCCATGCTTCATGCCAAGACTCCATGCGACTGACACTAAACAAAAGAAAAGACAGCCAGAGAAACAAAAGGAGAGACCAAATCCTCACTTACTGTACTCCTTCATCAAGGCAATACAATACAATGCTTAGTCCTGATCGTCATCATCACGATTTCGCTGATTCCCTCCTTTTCCCGTCCTATACCCCATGTTTCCATTGTTTTCCCAGAACATAATCCTTGTAACAAAAATCTTCCTCTTCATCTGTTTCCGTAGGTAGCTCATCGTACTACGCCACACTCTCCGAAGGAATCAGCTCAAGCAGCCCATCGACCTAAGATTTGCCGCCCTTGCGCTTCTTCTTTTTGCTTTTGTTCTTCTTCCCCTGACTACTACTGCTCTGCCCACCGCCGTTCGTCTTGGCGGATTCACCCTCCCTATCTCCAGACTGGTGTCCTTCATCGCCTGTCGTAGGTGACAACAGGCCCTGACTTTCGTCGCCTGTCTCCGACCTGGCGGATGGCTGCTTTATCGCCAAAGTCACCTTGGCGCCGTGGCCATGATCGGGGGAGGCTGTCGTGATGGCATATTCCTCCTCATCGTTGGAGCTGGTTGTCTCCAAAACCACCTTTCTGACGCCCCGGGTTTCAATAATGTTCTCCGTTATACTACCACTGCGAACAATCCCACGCCTAGGGGGCAAGAGGCCGCTATCGCGCATGCTGGCGACGCTATCGGTGCTACCGCTCGATCGAGAGCCAGACAAATTGCGGGCCGTCTCCGTGGCCGCATTGTGCTGCTGCTGCCTCGGGGGCGTCTGCGTCGATCTGTCGACCATATTATCCTGATTACCGTCCGAGTTGTCCACATTGATAGGTACTGCCGTTACGGCACTTTCCGCTGGAGAGATGAGTTGCGCGGTGGCGGGGCTAACACCACCGTAGCTCTGCGTCAAAGCTTGAATCCCGTCCTTTGCGGTCGATTGTTGAGGTCTGAGGAGGCTGGTGGTTTCGTCGTCTTCATAGGGAGTCTCGACAACGGCGCTCGAATCGGCAATGGATGCAGCGCGTGCTTGAGAGAGGTGTCCCGCAATCCCAGGCTTGATCTTCACTGTAGTCGAGCGAGTGTTCTTGGGGTTGATAGCTGGGTTGGAGGGTCCAAGGTGCTTCAAGTGCTGCCTGAGCTCTTCGAGATTGGCGCGGACCGGAACAGTAGTGTTCACCATCTGGCCATCGACCCCCGCCGAGCTTCTCCGCATCATCCAGGTAGTCTGCTTGGGATCCCGCTCGTTCATAAGATGGGCCGCTTCAGAAACAGTGGAACCCGCGCCGGTAAGCGGTTCAACGATCTTTGACGGCGGAACATCAACGCCGTTTCTTGTGCTCGAACCGGAGACATCATCATAACCCCTGGTGATCGTCTTGCCCATAACATCAACGGAGGTACGGCGTGTAATTCTGGCATTGGGCGCAGGAGTCAAGCGGCGAATGGCCTTGTGGACATCGATGTAAACATCCGATTCGTCAATGATTTCCCTGGAGTTCGGTCAGTAAAATACACATGCAGAGAGAAGCAAAGGTAGAGCCAAAACTTACTCTCCAATCAATTCCTCGATAACATCTTCAAGGGTGACCACGCCAATGGCGCCGTGATCTTCTCCGGGATATTCCGAAACAAGAACCATGTGGGACTTGCCCTCCTGGAAGAAGTTGACAATGTCCAAGCAGCTGGTTTCGGGACGAGTCTCGGGGAGAGTGGCCAAAGGGAAGTCCTTGACTCTCTTGCAGTCTTCGGGGTCGTAGGTGATGAGGATCTTGACAAGCAACATGCCGACAAAGTTGGTCGGGTTTCCGGTCTCGTGGATGGGAATTCTGGAGTATCCGGCTGACAAGATCATATCCATAGTCTTTTCATCCAGAACGGTGTCCTCTGCCATGACAAAAACGTCCTCCATGGGGGTCATGACATTGGCGACCGGCTTTTCCTTCAAGTCGAGTACCGCACTGATGATGGTGACTTCATCCTGGTTGAGACGTTCCGAAACATCGCCGAGGTTCTTGTGCAGCGTGACCAAAGTCTTGAGACCGCTCTTCTTGTAGACTGTTCCGTGGTCCTCTCCAAGGAGCTTGTCGAGAAGCTTTGCGATCGGGTAGGAGACGGGGGCAGTCAAATACATGAGAAGGAGGACGGGCTTAGCCATGTAGCCACCGATCGGGAGGCCGTAACGAACGCAGAGCGACTGAGGAATGACCTCACCGAAGATGACTGAAAAAAAAACACGTTAGACGAGCGGGATTGGGTTCTGAATGGAGTGAAACGTACCGATCAAAACAGTAGAGCCGATGACAGCGGCAACGCCACCGCCGAGGCAACGGTCCAAAACAACGGGAAGTGTTTCGTTGACAATGACATTGGATAATAGCAGCGTAACTAGGACCCAATGCTTGCCACGCTGTAGTAGATCGTACACTCGTTTCGCGTTCTTTTGTTGTGGTTCGGTCAAGTCTCTCGCGAGTACTTGGAGATAGATGCCATCCTGACCCATCAGGCTACACCATCGTCATGTTAGTTCTTTGTACCGATAGAAACGAAGGCTTGCGGGAGATGCCAAGGATAAACATACGCTATCGTCAACCCGGCAAAGGCTCCTCCGACGAGGACCAAAACAAGTGAGACCACATAGAGGACCCAAATGGCGGCGCCCTCTTCTTCTGGCTCTCCGGAACCTCCATGTTCAAGAATGCCTAGATGTATCGGTGCAGCCGTGACAGTGGAAATGCCCATAAACAGGGCGCGTGCCAGGCCGACCGTAAGAGAGCGTGCTGCTAGCAAGCCATTGGAACGGGAGGAGGCACCACGGAAATGTTGTGCCGTACGGGGGGCTATCGACATTATTTTTTTTCGAAAGATTCCACCAGAGTCGGTCGTGTATGAGCTGCGAGAATACTCTGGGTGGATGGGTTGTTTTTATTTCAGAGGAAGAAACCGGGCTCTTGGAAGTTGGGGCTGTGCTTGGACAGAAACAGATGCCGTTGGATGCGAGACTGAGCTTGGGGCGCTTTCCTTATCTCGCTGCAGACAGAAGAGGAAGGACGGAGAAAAAGGCTGCGCAATCGGACAAGGAGAATTGGTTGGGAGTGCAGTGGTATCGATCAGTCACGGGCTTTGCAAAGCTCTGCAAAGCTCTGCAACGCAAGCGACGGTGGTCCGATCCTTTTTGCCTTTGCGGGTAGGCGCTACGAAATGTGATATGCGCCGGTTTAAGTCGTAGAAGCCGGGGCTTGTATCCTTGGCGACTCGGAGGGGACAGCGGCGATTAGGTTTTGAGCGGAGACGGAAATACCCTTGTTGTTTTAGTCCAAATGGTGGTTGAGGCGAGACAGTTGGAGAAGTCGGGTTGGGAAAATTGGCAAAAACATTGGGCGAAGTTTCAAAGAGAAAATCCAAGAAAGCACCTCATCAGACCTTGCTGCAGTGGGCACTGCACTTTACAGCAATGGTATTACAGTGTGTTAAAGAAACCATGGGCAAGTGGGTCCATGACGACTCCCTCGACGGGTCCTGTTCCGATGACGATGGTGGCTGCGGACAACCTCCCGCTCAAAGATTTTGTGCTACAACGAAGCCGGAGCCTCTCATTGATTGGTCACAAGTTCTGTTTCAGCGACATGATTGGATCAGAGTACGTATCAGACAGCAACGGGGCAGCGGGACTTGCAACAACATTCTAGACTCTTTGCCAAAAGGTCTTCTCAAAAACATATAAGAATCGGGCCATCAAGGTGTCCGTCTCGGGTCATGAGGGAGCTTCGAGGAGCAGCTGTACAACCAATTGCTACATTGGTCCACGGCAGAACGCAGGACGACAAGCTACTACCAGTAACAAAAGCACCCTGTCCCACAACAATCATATGTCATTATCGAAACAAGCTCGTTTCATTCCTTCTGGATGGAACTTGGCAGTTTGGTGCTTGTGGTGCTTCGCCGAAGGATAATAAGGAAAGGACGATGAAGCGGTGTTTCAACATACAAAGATTAGGACGATTCCACCACAATGGACCATAAAAGAGGACCATATTACAAACATTGAGGTACTCTACCTTACTGTGTACGATATACCTCAATGCCAGCTCAATAGCGTGTTTACCAAACCCTTGGCAGCCCTCGTGTAATTCCTTCATTCGAGTCCTGTACGAGGGCATAATATCTGGGCGTTTACATGAACCTAACTGAGCCACGACATACATATTTCATCCGAACCAACTCTCGAAGAGGCGGTGCACTCTCACATAGGAGAGAACGGGATTGAAGTAGTGGTCCGAAAGAGCCTGGAGTCTTCATGGGTCTAGGCCTGGGCCCGTCGTGGTTTAGGGTTGCGGTTCCCCTGCACCACCCAGCCCCCCAGCGGCAAGCATCCACTCCCAGTGGAAGTCACTGCGGGGGGTGTCAACTTTAGCGGGATACGCTGAAGCTCTGGTTTATTGCGGGCACTCCCGTCCAGCATGAATAAATAAATGAATTTTTTGACTACATACTATTAATACTAGATAATAAATTGTGCTCGCGGCAATAGCTGAGCATAGGTACATAAGTGTAGGTAAAAGCTTTATAAGTCAGTTAAATGAAATTCTAATATAGTTGTACATTAAAAAATTCTAATATTCTTTATATCTATTAAAAAATCAATGATAGATCTTTATTTTAGGCCTTTTAAATCCCGCAATTATATACTTTTATAAAAGGCAAAAACTGGTCGTTTGGGTTTAAGATTTCTATTTATACTATCTTTATTCTTTAATAACTTGTCTCTCTTTCTCTTAAAACTTAAATATATAAGGGCATGATATGGAAGGAGTGAAGGCAAAGCTAAGATTCCATCTATGACAGAAGATTTCAGATGAGGAGAAGAAAAAAGGAAGAAAACTAGATACAAGCGTTCTTATATATGTTAGTATGACAGGCTGGAATTGAACTATTATGACAGGCTAGGATGCATATGCCCAGACGGCCAAACCCATAAGATAGGACGATGGTCTGCTTGTAAGTTCTGCTTGTAAGGCAGAACTTATTGCAAAGCAGAACTTGGAATACTAAGGCAGAACTCGGAATGCACACTATAAATAGCTAATGTCAACCTGTGACACGTTCAAACCCAAATAAATACTTTGGTTGTACCAGCGACAGCAGAACCCACATGTGAGTCGCTAGCTGCTAGCGCCGTCATAAAATATACATATGACTTTCATCCTTAAAGGCTTTTACTTTTACGAAGTACGTAGCGTAGTTAGTACCAAAAGTAACTGAGGTATTTTATACCACTTAAGGATTATAATACGTAATTAAGGAATGAATAAAAAAGTATCCCTTCTTAT